AAAAAAAAAAAAAAAAATTTATGTGTGGTTCTAACATTGTCGGCAGAAAGCATGAAAATGACAGTAAACTTCAGGAGACAGCCAGCTAAAAACCCTACCTGGCTGTCCTGAACCACCCACAACTGGCCCGGGCTCCAAGGGCAAGTGGACATGACCAGTCCTAACACTCAAAAAAATAGAGCCTGCAATTTCTCTGGACAGAAATAGATGAGTGAGTGAGTTGTTTGAAAAGTTAATAACAGATGACGTTTAATATAGGTGGACAATAGGTAGAGACATTTTCAGTAGTTGGCAACCTTGGTGCTTGCTACTACGGAGCTCTAGGTATGCTCTTTCCACCTTGTGCCACCCCCCAAATTCTTGTTTACCTCTTCTAGCAAGTGTGGCCATAGTGAGAAGGTACCATATATACACCAGAGAACAAGCCAAATCTGGTAGTATACAGATGCCCACTTCTTAGTCTCCCAATTTGTAAACTAATTTCTGCTGTTAGAAGCTACCTAGATTATGATACTGTTTTACAGCGGCCTGAACATACAAAGAGCCTAGGTTCATGTAAACTGGGTTTCTGTTAGCCTATGTAGATATGGGCATCGATGGAGTAATTGAGAGGTGAGAAGACTTTTGACACCCAGGTGTGCAGAACATTCTGTAAGACATTGCTTTCATTTCAGGAAAAAACACAGACCAGTAGGACAACAGGTAGAGGCATGAAGATATAGTAGGGAAAGGAAAAGGGATCCAGATCCAGTGTGATGGTGAGGAAGGTGGATTCCATTGGGACTTACACATCCATGGCTCGCTTGGTGTCTTAGTTAACTGTTGCTGACACAAAATACCCAACACCCAAAGTAAAAGCAAGAAAGGTTATTTTGGCTCACAGTTTGTAGAGGTTTCAGTCCATAGTTGTCTGGCTTCAAGACAGGGTGGCATGGAAGATTGGAATCACAGAGGAGAAACAGTTCCTGGCAAGCAAAAGGCAGCAAGCAGCAAGCTCAGTAGTGGTACGCGACAAGTGACAGCAGTAAGCCCTCTTTCTGGCTCTAATCTCCTATCCAGGCTACCCACCTTTAGGGCAGGTATCACTCACACCGAGGGTGAGGCACCCTTAATCCTAGCATTGCATCATGAAACAATACCAGCATCACATACTTGATCTCAGCATCACACACCCTATATCCAGTCACCTCTGGAAAGCCCCACCTATGAGCACATGAGAAAAATCTAGAAACAAGCAACAGCAGTGGGGGATATAATGAGTGCTTAATAAGAGGAGACACAAAGGAGGCTTGGCAATCAATATCATGCAGGAGATTCTTCATGAGCTAGGGCTGAATGGAGGCATGAAGAGTGGATTAATGGTTGTGTGAGCGTGTGAGCGTGTGTTATCCTAGGCAGACCCTACATGCACTCATGCCCACCCTTCCCTCCCACACACACGGAGCTACAGCTCTGTGTGCTTCTCCTCAGCACCCTTTAGCTCCTGGATCTTCCGGGGCAGGGTCTCCATCCAGAACTTCAGCCTGGAGGCCTTCAGGGCACGGTCCACAGTAGGCTCTGTGTCCAGCTGCAGGTACAGCTCCTCATTGTCCAGTGCAGGCCAGTGGGGCAGGCCCTCACCATTGGGGTTCCTGTGAAGATACCCTCCCAATAGGGGATAAGAGGTCAGTCTGAGTTCTTGAAACCTTGCCTGAGTATCTTGATTTGCATCAGGACCGACAGCTAAGATGGCAAGCATAGAAATAAGGGGAACTTTTCCTGCTACAGAGAACAAAACCATCCCACTAGTGTCCCTTCCATGTGAGACAGGCCTTCCAGTCCTGTTTTGTCCCTCCCTCTTAGAGATGGGCTGTGACTGAAACACAGCACTATGGTACACCACACATGTCACTGGGAGAGGGATGAGTAACCTATACTGGCAAGGCTCCTCTCTGTGTCCACACATTTCTTGGTCTTGCAAAGGAGTTAATGTGTGATTTAAGGACACTCATATGCTAACAAAGTTCCCACAGGTAAGAGGTGCACCTGATGGGTTCACACAGCATGTGAAGACTGAGGTATCATCTCACCCATTTCGTGCAAAGTTGGCCCAATACTTCATCATCCTCTTATTTAGTAGCTTCTCCTCCTCAGTGAAAGGAGCTGCAGAGAGAAGGACAAAAACCCAGGTCTTAGACTGATGCTCACCACATTCACCCTGCTGCACATTCATGTACCAATCTCATCGCTCAGCTATAACCTGAACCTGGACACCAGGCCTGGTCCTCTCCTTCCCCACTTATCCTAGAGCCATGCCCTCCCCTTGCCCAACCTTCAGTCTCCAGTTGAATTGACCCAAGGTTCAGTGCTGGCATAGAAGGTGCCTTCTTTCTTGACTCTTGTGAGTCATTAAAAAAAAACACACACATATGCTGTGAGACAGTCCCTCCTGCCCTTTTGTCCCATGCTGGACACCATGTCAAGATGAGGACAGTAGGAGGAGGGAGCACTGAGTGGAGTGCAAGGGCTTGGATTCTCATCCCAGCACAGTCTTTTGAGGTGTAAGATAGTGGACACTGACCCTATCCTCTCTCTGGGTCTCAACTTCCTCATCTGGACTGTGAATGAATTCACAACTCAGGGACCCAGCCAGAGCCCATTCCTACTGCTGAATCGAGGAGACTCACCTTTCTGGCCCCACAGGAAGGATCCAAAGACAAAGGGAACCTCATCAGCGTGGTCAGCCTTCACATGGGGTGGCCTGATGTTTTTGAGGAAGTTGGGAGGATGCTGGAATTCATAGAAGTAGACAGTGCCATGGGAGCCTGAGGAGGTGGACAGCTGTGACTTGGTGACCTGTTAGCTTGAGTGCTTCTGCCTCACCCTTGGCTATAAAACACCTAAATCTAAAGTTGGCTGGAATCTGAACAGTGTGGTAAAGAGCACCAGGTTGCAGTAGGAACAATGGAAAGGGCCTTGGATAAGTCATGACCTTGGACTTCCCAGCTGAGTAGTTTGAGCGACTCACTGAGCACCACTCTCCTCAGTTTCTCTATTTGTATAATGGGAAAGATGTCCGTCTCTTACATCAGGTATGAATACGACTTTTAGTGCATATTAGGTGAACTGACTCGTGGGTTTCATTTTGACGTATTTGTACATACATATAACACACTGATCATTCTCCCCCTATTTCTACCTTCCCTCTTTCTTCCTCCTTCCCCTGATTTCTTTTCTCTTTTCTACTAGTCTTCCTGTTTCCATCTCTCTTTTTGGGCCAGGGATATAGCTCAGTGGTGCTAGAACCTGCCTGGCAAGTGCAAAAAAATCTCTTCTTGTTCTCCATATTTCTCCTATGCAGGAAATATGGGATATGTGACATTCTGTGCATGGTTCATTTCACTTAACATAATGATCTGCAGTTCCATCCCCTCTCTTGCAAATGATGTGAGTCCATTCTACTTTATGGATGAGAAATATCTATTCTATATGCACATTTTCTTTATCCATTCGTCTGTTGATGGACATCTAGACTACATGATAATACTCAGCTATTACAAAATATGCTGCAATAAGTATGGCCAGGCTGGCCTCTTTGTAGTAGATTGACTTTAATTATTTCAGAATACACTGAGAGTTGTATACCCTAGTTTTAGTTTTTGGAGGAAACACATAATAATTTCCATAATGGATACATTAATTTTATTTACACCAAGAGCAGAGGAGCCTTGCTATTCCCTATATACTTAATCCTCATCAGCATTTACTGGATTTTGTATTCCTAGAGACAGATACAATAATATTCTTTTTGTGCATGCGTGTGCAGTACTGGGAATTGAACCCTGGGCCTTCACTCAGCTACATTCCCAGCCGTTTTCAATTTTTTCAATTTGACACATAGGCTCACTAATTTACTAAATTGCCCAAATTAGGCTGAAAGTCGTGACCTTCTCCTTCAGCTTCGCACAGTACTAGAATTACAGGAGAGGAGCATCTCATATCTTTCACATATAAATATCCATTTTTCCTAGCATCACTGGCTAAACACATATTTTCAGCCCTGTTCCAAAAAATCACATTGATGTAGTAGTTTGTGTTTGTTATGCTGTTTCCTATTCTGTTTCATTGGTCTATGGATCTATGCTACATTCTTACCATTCTGTTTTTATTATGATGGCTTTGTAGTATATTTTGAAATCAGAACTTGTGACCACCCAGAGTTACTTTTTGCTTAAGATTTAACCACAAAGATTTACTGAGATGACAGACATCAAGCATCTGGCAGCAGAAAAGCTCAATAAAATAGGAATAGACCTGGACTCTACAAACCTCATTTCACCTCACAGTTCTGAGCTATTGCATAGACAGTGAGATCTCAGCTACTGATGTACTCACGATGAAAATGTGCTACTTTGAGGGCAGGAATCACGAACATAGAGTCTGCCATCATCTCATGGAACTGCAGTTGGAGGACCTGGGGGTCCTCATTGTCTCCCATGTACTCTTCCATCAACAGGTCACCAAACTCAGCAGGCAACATCTAGCTCAGGTAGATCATGGAGAATCAGGTTAGATAGGTTTCTGGGTATGTGTGGGAGCTTGCGGTGGGAAAACAGCTGATGGACTTGGGATTGTAAGAAATGGGCAAAACTTGGGGTGATTCCACCTACAACCACATACATAGTTCAGCTTCTTTTAGATGAGATAGCTGCATGGGCATGAATGTGGGGGTGCCATATCCTTAGGACAGGAACTCTCTTGGCTGTAAGGGTCGAGTTTCTGGATCGCTGAGCAGTCTGAACCTGATTCTGAGGGACAAATTCTCTATGCCTCCACAATTCTGGAACCTAGGGTGGCCGCTGCTACCATTATGGAACGTGGCACTGTGTGACTTTCTTCTCAAAGTGAAGTCTTTCACCTTTCCAGTTTTGAGGCTTCAAAGGGTGGAGATTTGCTGCTTTTTTTGATGCCCTTGGGCCATCTTTTTTATTCTCTTGTTCCTTGTCAGGAAGATCTCCTCAACTCTGTCTTTGCAGTCCACAGCTTCATTGTAACTTCCTTTCTGGCCATGCTCACCACATTTTAAATCAGCCCCCTGGGCTCTTTGCTCTTGATTCTCAAAATAAATCTGGGTAAAACCCTCCAACAACAGCCTTGCCAGTGCCTCAACATTTAACTGCCTTGAAATTTCTTCTGCCAGACTAATTAGTTCTCCACCCTTAATCTTAGTTTCAGGCAAAGTCTCTGGACATGAACAAAATGCAAACAAATAACACACATCATCTGCAGTCTGACTACCAATGCAGTCCTTCCTGCCAGCAGAAACCTCCCAAGCATGGTCTTTACCAGTAGGATTTCTACCAGCCTTCTCAGCTTCTGAGCTCTGACCAGGATCTCCCATACAGAACAGTCAAAGGTGTTCTAGCCCTCCTCTTTCAGGAGAAATCTCAGAACATTTCAAAACACTTCACATAAGCCATTTCTAAAGGCTGGTGAACCATGTGGTCAGATACACTCACAGCAACAACCCCACTTGTCTGGTACCAAATTCTGTCTTGGTTCCTTTTCTCTCATTGCTGAGACACAAATCCCCAGCACCCAAATTAAACAGGGAACAGTTTACTTAGCTCACAGTTTGTGGAGTTTTCAATCCATACTTGGATGGCTCCAAGGCAGAGTGGCACATGGCAGAGGGCAACAGTTCAGGGTGGTGGAAGATAGCAAAAGCACCAAGAACACAAAATGGAGGAGTGGAAGTGGGAAGAGCAATCCTTCTTGCCTCCCTTTTACTGTATGCAAGCTACCGGCCCCAGGGTGGGTATAGCACTCATGCCCATAATCCCAGCATAATCCCAACCCATAATCCCTGGATAAATTATAAACTCTAGAAGCCTGGCCCATGACTGCATAAGGCTTTGGGGAGACATCCAGACACAAACTATAACAGGAACACAGGAGCCTCACCATCTGTGCTGACATGCTTTGCAGAACAGCCCGCAGAGTCTCTCTGTTCATTTTCTTCTGGTTGTCAGTAGAGCCAAGTGCCTGGATAATGGATGGATAATATAGAGCTGAGAGTGGGATCAGTATGCACCTGTGTAATCTAGAGGACCACTACAGATCAAATGCACACCCCAAAATACTGAGGGCCTTACCATGGGAATGATCCAGCCATACTCATCATTGTTGACACCAATGATGCTGGGGACAGGTTGAAAGTCAGCAGAGGC